TTATTTGGTTCACAGGTTTTTCCTAGACTCCGTGTTAGGACATTAGCTTTCTGTACCACTTTTTCGTTATCTTAGAATTTATTTCGCTTTTATTTTATTCCCACTCTCGATTCCTCGCTAGCAGTCCGGTTAATTTTAATCATTAGGTCTTATTAAAGAACCTCTCACCCTCTAAGAAAACTCCGTTTGGAGATATTCCTTGTTACGTTCTATGTTATTAAATTTCGGAGTAAAATTTTCTAACACGTGCATAATGCATTATTAAGGAGTAAAATGCCTCCGCAGGCATTCTAGAACGGTATTTATTTTAACACTTCATGCACGGGTGCCATTCTGCTTATTTGGTTCACAGGTTTTTCCTAGACTCCGTGTTAGGACATTAGCTTTCTGTACCACTTTTTCGTTATCTTAGAATTTATTTCGCTTTTATTTTATTCCCACTCTCGATTCCTCGCTAGCAGTCCGGTTAATTTTAATCATTAGGTCTTATTAAAGAACCTCTCACCCTCTAAGAAAACTCCGTTTGGAGATATTCCTTGTTACGTTCTATGTTATTAAATTTCGGAGTAAAATTTTCTAACACGTGCATAATGCATTATTAAGGAGTAAAATGCCTCCGCAGGCATTCTAGAACGGTATTTATTTTAACACTTCATGCACGGGTGCCATTCTGCTTATTTGGTTCACAGGTTTTTCCTAGACTCCGTGTTAGGACATTAGCTTTCTGTACCACTTTTTCGTTATCTTAGAATTTATTTCGCTTTTATTTTATTCCCACTCTCGATTCCTCGCTAGCAGTCCGGTTAATTTTAATCATTAGGTCTTATTAAAGAACCTCTCACCCTCTAAGAAAACTCCGTTTGGAGATATTCCTTGTTACGTTCTATGTTATTAAATTTCGGAGTAAAATTTTCTAACACGTGCATAATGCATTATTAAGGAGTAAAATGCCTCCGCAGGCATTCTAGAACGGTATTTATTTTAACACTTCATGCACGGGTGCCATTCTGCTTATTTGGTTCACAGGTTTTTCCTAGACTCCGTGTTAGGACATTAGCTTTCTGTACCACTTTTTCGTTATCTTAGAATTTATTTCGCTTTTATTTTATTCCCACTCTCGATTCCTCGCTAGCAGTCCGGTTAATTTTAATCATTAGGTCTTATTAAAGAACCTCTCACCCTCTAAGAAAACTCCGTTTGGAGATATTCCTTGTTACGTTCTATGTTATTAAATTTCCCTGTGTTTGAATACTGTCACTTTTTAACTGCTTTAAGTATTTGTAATTTTAGGCCGATTTCTGCACTTTTACACTGGGTCAAAATTCATTATTTCTGGGATGGAGACGACTTATATCTACATTTAACCTGAAGCGTTTGCTTGTCTGACTTACTTCATTAGACTTTATTTCAACATACCGTGTCGTATCATGCTTTATCGTGTCTCCTTCTTCAGAGACAGGCTTCTTTCAGCATACCGTGTCGTATCATGCTTTATCGTCTCTCCTACTTCAGAGACAGGCTTTCTTTCAACATACCGTGTCGTATCATGCTTTATCTTGTCTCCTTCATCAGACACAGGCTTTCTTTCAACATACCGTGTCGTCTCTCCTTCTTCAGAGACAGGCTTTATTTCAACATACCGTGTCGCATCTTGTTTTATTGTCTCTCCTTCTTCAGAGACAGGCTTTCTTTCAGCATTATATCGTGTCGTAACAAGTTCTACGTCTCTACTTCTTCAGAGACATTCACTATTTCAGTCAAGGTATTTATCCTTATATTTATTATTGGTTTTAAAAATTTTTTTTTTTTTTTTTCGTCTCTTCTTCTTCAGAGACTGGCTTTCTTTCAGCATACCGTGTCGTATCAAGTTTTTATCATCTCTCCTTCAGAGACAGGCTTTATTTCAACATACCATGTCGTATCATGTTTTTATGGTCTCTCCTTCAGAGACCGGCTTTCTTTCAGCATACCGTGTCGTCTCTCCTTCTTCAGAGATAGGCTTTATTTCAACATACCGTGTCGTATCATGCTTTATCGTGTCTCCTTCATCAGACACAGGCTTTCTTTCAACATACCGTGTCGTTTCATGCTTTATCTTGTCTCCTTCATCAGACACAGGCTTTCTTTCAACATACCGTGTCGTCTCTCCTTCTTCAGAGACAGGCTTTATTTCAACATACCGTGTCGCATCTTGTTTTATTGTCTCTCCTTCTTCAGAGACAGGCTTTCTTTCAGCATTATATCGTGTCGTAACAAGTTCTACGTCTCTACTTCTTCAGAGACATTCACTATTTCAGTCAAGGTATTTATCCTTATATTTATTATTGGTTTTAAAAATTTTTAAATTCAAATTTGTATTTTATTTATCAGTTTAATTTGAAGCACACTTGGACAAATAGAGCCTCCCATTTTGTTATTATTATCTAGATAGGTGATAGGTACCATGGACACTGGATCTCAGCAACATACAGAAGATACTACCTGTCATCATAATAGAGTCTAATGAACTCTACCCACAGGTTAGTCAGGCAGTGGATCACACTCTGATGACATCTCCTTTTGGAGATTTCGGACTCTCAGACTACCTATACTAGTTGAGTGTGTTCCATAACCTAGCACCCTGCCTAAACGTTCGGTACTCCTGGACCTATGTGGCAAGCCTGCTCCCTGAACAAAAAAAAATATATATATATACCCGGGATGGTCCTCTGAATGAACGTCCACCGGTGACAAATTCCCTTAGTATATGCAGTCAAAGCAGCTTGGGGCTCCTCAACAGCAATTGATGACAACAGCTTGATGTCCTGACACCATTTATGGACTTTATCTGAGACATATTTGTTCTTAAAAGCTTCGCTGCCAATTGCTGCACCCAAATGGCGTTCTCCTTCAGACTCGATTTTAATACCAGTGCTTGAGAATACTTTCTGCGCAAGATCTAGGTCCTCGCTATTCTTCACAATCAGGACGGTCTTACTGGCTTTTGGGTAATATCCATACTTTGGTCCTTGCTCCAACAGCGTATCCCACCATATCTTAAAGGGATCATGAAGTGTCCCCGACTTAATCGTCAAAACATTTCACATATACTATCACATAGAGACCCTAATATAAGAATAGGGCTCGGAATTCCCAGATTCGTAACTTAATTATGTCGCGTGAAATCGATACTGGAAGATCGCCCTATTTTGTTGGATTGCGGCTAACTGTCAGACACCGCAATAGAAACAGTGTTAAAATGCACATTTTTATTCATGTGCTGTGGCGCCAATTTAATTGATAAAATCTTCAAATTAACGACACTTGATAGATTTGACTTTTATCTTTCGAAAATTGTGGTTGTATAATGTGCATAATATACACAAGCGTCAAATAATTGTCTTAAAAATTTACTAGTAAAAGCTCTTACGGGCATTTTCTGCTCGATACGCTAGGGACTCCACATACATCTTTCTAGACGTACTTTTGACCGTACAATCGATTAAACGTGGTTTTGAAATGATAAGTCTGAGTTTCCCCAGGTAAAATCGCAAAAAACCGATTTTTGGGCCAAAAATATGCCAAAAAACCATGATTTTTGAATTTTTGAGCAAGTTAATTTCGTTGGCATATCAGCAAAATGTGCATGAAGATAGCTGAAACACAGCCGCATGATGGCATTAAAATTAAGCTATTATTCCAGGATTTCGTGCTACATTCAAGTTCCATAAGGTGAGCTGCCTTTAATTGCTTGTAGGAACTAGATTAATCGCTGTACACCAAATTTAGGAAGATATGTGAAATATAATGGTTTATACCTGATGGTAATCTTGTCGGTTCAAAAAAATAACCAACAGAAAACTTGTTATGGACGATTAAAATCAGGTGTGTTTACACATGTCGTATATGCTATCCTGTCACCTAGCCGCAACTTGGAAAAATGTAATTGATATGCCCCATATTATCTCAGCTTGTGAAGCAATTACGACGGAGCTATTTTGGGATTGCGGCAGAATTACCAAGCCTAGCTCACTACCCAAGTTTCGAGCATTTTTGAAGAATTCGCAAATTTACACTTCATGATCTCTTTAATACCTTCAATCTTTCCACCAGCACTACTGTCGTCTGCATACCAAGACTGTTTGCAAACACTGGGCTTGGAGGCTGTGGCTAGGTCATCTACTAGAGGCTTGATCCCTAATGCATAGAATGCCATTGCTGCTACATCTCCCTGAGTTGAACCTTCCTCAGACTTAAGTTGGTAGTGGTCCTCGGTAGTATTAATGATCAGGTCCGCTGGCTTTTGGTAGTGGTTCTTTAGATACTGATAGAGCGGAGGACAAATCTCATGAACATTGTGTAGGGCTGCTTCTCTATTAAGACGATTGAACGCATTATCAGCGTCAACCTGTAGTATTGCTTCAAGTTCAGTGTCACTGTCTTCCCAGATCTGTCTCATTGCATGAATGGAAGCCTCTATTCCTGATTTGAGCCCTGCACAGGTCTGCAGTGGGCCAGCAGCATATTGTATATCAGTTTTGAAAGACATTATAACTGCTTTTCCAATGATTCTGCGCAATATCTCGCCGATTCCAATAGGTCTTACACCAGGTTTCCCGTTCTTATCCTGGCCTTTATCAAGAGCCCTGCGGTTTCTTCGCGTTCGCGACTATACCCATTTGCGATGCCACTGTGTGGACGTAGCTGTGATAAATCATACATTCTCTTAAACTACATGCTCTAACTCGGACATCGCATCCTTAACCAGTTCTGGGGACTGTTCCTGGGTAGAGTTATGAAAGCTTAAAGCTTTCGCGCCGCGCAAGCCCCCAAATATGGCTAAAAATGTGCATCGTCGTAGAATAACTTTGCATAGGCAGTGCGTGGTGTCATCAATATGGTAGTTAATTTTGATTTTCGGCCTCCGGCTTGATAGCCTAGTTGGCTGAGAGGGCGACTGGCTCAGTGTCACTGAGTTCGACTCCCTGTCTTGGCCAAAATTAAATTTTTATTGAAACAAGTTATTTCAACAGAAAAGTCCTAAAGAAAACACGTAAAACTGTGAAAACAGAATACTTCTCTGTATCTGGTAAATTTGCAGAAAATAGCCGGAATAGTAAAAAGACCTGGGAAGTAATTAATTGTATAAGACTAAGAGGAAAACGGCGGCGTGAAACAAAGCCGGATCTGTTATAGCAGATATTAGCAGTTTTTATATGATTTGGCCCAGTTTTGCACTGGGCCGAAACTGATTTGCTAACAGTTGTTTCTATCTGGTTTAAAAATTGAGAGTCTGCTGGGTGAAGATCAGTTGCCAATACTTGATAGCTTTGATAGCTTTATTATTCTGCCTGTCACGGTGGGAAAGAAAGGTCAAGGCTGCTCATTTCTAGACGTCCTTCATCTATACCGTCCATATCTGAAACAGATTCTCAGATAAGGATAAGGAACTAAATAACGATAAGGTGAACGGTTGATATTAGAGTTAAAATCTGAGTGTTGGGAGAAAAATCTAGTAAATCTCAAACTGTTAAACTCTACTTACTTTTGATCCACCAGTTCTCATAATTTTTAAGCCGTAAAGCAGCAGACACGAGTCTAGAGGAATTGTTGAAACGCCAAGATCCGCTTTTACTTTTCAGTTCTCTGATCTTAATTTTCAATGTGTGAAGCAGCTGGCGTGAGTTTCGTGGAAATCTTTCATAATCCCAGCCTCCAGGAGTTGCTTTTATTTTGGGTCCTCTTAGAGCTTTAGAGGTTATCGATATTCCAGATTATGTCTGCTTTGTTGTCTGTACTTCCGGGGGTTGTATAAACCTGAGAAATTGAACAGTTCAATACCAGAGAGAATGCTGAAGACTTCGAAAGTTCTGCCAAAATGTTTATTTTCTATACACAAATCCGAATTTTTCTCTTTAGTGGCGATTTTAGACAAAATTTACCTTCTTTCGGACTAAACTTTGAAACTGAATTGAAGTTTAAACGATTACCTCTAGAATGATATTAATGAATTAGTAAATTTATCATCAGAAGTCAAGTTATGGTCGATTTTGGAATAGTAGAGGCTCTTACGGGCAAATAAGGCACTCTTCTGCTGGAGCCCCTAGGCTCCTGGGATGATTGTTTTATGGACTAGTAAGTAGTGCCGCATCGATAGCCGATCTCAGATGCCACTATGGAGGCTGTATAGCCATGTGCTGACGGTTATTTGCTTTTTTCCGCGCACCTCGCTAAATCACAAAATACCCGCTCGAATTTGATTTCAAAATATTCACAAAACTCCTAGATACCTACTTGACGATATTACGTAGCCAGATTTACCTCTGTTGCCTATCTCTTGGTGTTATGACTATTCAAAGTTTCAGATTATCACGTGACACATTATGTCACAGTAAATGCGCGCAAGAAAAACTTTCACACATATTTTTGATTCGGCGCAAGCGCGTTCCGCACAATTACTACAAAAAGAACCAGGGTTTTTCCCGACGAGTAATACTACTATACGTAATTTATTACTATGTGTGATACGAATGGTAACGGAACTTGTATCATAAGAAACAGTGATTTAAAAACAAGCTGCTATGATAAATGTTGCTATAAATCAGTAAGCACTACCTCGATGTAAGCATATTAGGGGTCGTTCACATAATACGGAATCACCGAGAGGGGGGGGGGGGGGGGTCAAATTAAACGTTGTTCAGGACGTGATTACGTAATATGTCAACGATCCTGTAAGAACATTACATTAGCCGTTACATAACATACATTGAGTTTTACGGGGCTAAATTTGAACTTTAACAAGTTCTCTGTTTGTTCTGGTGTTAGTTGGCATAACAAATACACCATTTGCAGCTTTAAATGTGACAGTGATCAGTGACGGGGAAGATGTAAAATAACATTTAGTCCGCCGCATTTCCCTAACACCCAGTTTGGAATTTGGATCTTATGTCATGGTCAGTGTAATAAATTCCAACGAATCTTTAGACTAATATCCACCAGGTTCTGAAAATAGCACTTTCAGCTGCTTTTAAAAATAAGCTATTTCTAATTTTCGATCTGACTGTAACTTCGTCGATTAGGCGAGGTTTTACAAGATAAAACTTTCATATGCCCCGTTTTAAACATCAAACTGTATTTTAATGTAATTAACAATGTAATAAAAACCATTTGTTTAATCAGAACTAAAAATGTCATAGCTGAAATCGATGGATCAGTCTGATAAAAGTTGAAACTAGTATAACGTGCTTCAAACCCCGGGTTGACACTTGGCCGTAAATCTGTGTTTGACATCTAGAGTTCTAAAGCTTACACACAAGAATTTTAGCAAACGCAATGTATTAAGAGAATACAACGTCAGAGAATTAAATTACAAAGAATACAAAAGTAATGTCCACAATCATTGATATAAACAAGATGGATGTTGACGTCTTATTCGCTGAAGGTACTTTTGCAGAGTATAGCTGTGAAGTAAGCTTAATTCCTATATCCTTCCCTAGACCGTCCTCCAATCTGAAGTTATACAATTGTTATGCAATCTGAATTCTGAAGTTGTAGCAATTCGACTTCTAAACACCTTTCCTTTCTGTCAATATTTCAACAGCAGGAAAATTCTGTGATATAATAGTATGAAACACTCAGAATTGTAACCACAAGTCTATATTTATGAAAAGAATCTAGACTTGTGGTTAAAATTCTGAGTCTCTTTCTGTCCTCTGAAGCATGTCGGTACCACATGACCTCACCTATTATGTTTTAAAGACCCGAGGGCCACACTAAAGGGCTTTGAAACCGGTTTATTGAATACAATATAATATAAAAATAAATAAAACTGCAATCGTAACATTCATGTCGATACTAACTGAAATGATATAATCTGTAGTTAAAATAATAATACTGTCACTTAATTAAGATATATGATATAGGTAATAAAATAAATATCTCTTTTATTTCCACACTAATTCTCACACCAAGCTTTAATTCACACACAAAAACTTTAAATTTTATCAGATTACAAATGTCCTAATATATACGTCTCTTATCTTTAGTTAAAAAGTCAGGGGTGCAGCCGTTATACTTCAATTAAAATAATTGATCACGCCGGATCACGATGTTATTTTATCAAAATCAGCTAGCCGTTTAGAATTGATTGCTGAGCTCTGTGCAGGCTGTGTGTGGTACTGTGTAGTGGGTGTGTGTGTCTGAAGTGAGCGGTAACAGTCCTTGCGAGTGGTTGTTATTATGATGCGCTGAGATCAAGTTGATGATATATTATGTGATTGTGCGTGTTGTGCTGATAAGGCTTTGATTGAGCGATGTTACAGTTTTTGAAAATAAACACATTGCACGAGCACATAAAAGTGTTTTATAAACATTACAGTAATGTGTATCTTTTTTCGCTCTTGTGAGTGGGTCCATCATATTTCATTTTTGGGGACGAAGTGAGAGTCTCCTACAATCAAATATTAGCATATCGCATTGCACTGGATGATATCAGAGTTGAAGTATTAAATCAGATTTCGGAGCGTACAGACTACAGGGTGTTCAAAAATATTGCAAGGATATACTTTTGAATAACTCTTTATCCACTAGGATTGCCGACTAGGATCAGCTACTACAAAAGTAAACTGCAGTTTAGACAAATGACTTGTCTAAACTTGATTTTGTGAAAAGTTATTGGTAGTTCTAAGGTTTAATGGCTAATTTTGAGTTATATTTTTCTCGAAGAAATATGGGCAATTTATTCCATGGTCCTATATGGCTGATGGCACACCAAACCATAACTTTTTCCTTGGAATTTACTTTGGAAAGACCTGCATAAACAGTGAGCTAGTGAATTGACGATGATTAAAATTGTGAAACAGTACCAAGGATTAATTAGGTAAATCACCCAAATTTGCCTCGGTTGCTAGGGCACTGATTGTGGTTGCTATGGGGCCATGGCAACGTGTTATCGAGTTATAAGACCTTGATTTTAGAATTTAATCCCACCAAACCTGCATAATATCGAAGATCCCCTGTACTTTAAAGTAATGCTTACGACGTTTGTGAAATCATTCTTAATTGTGAATAATGGAAAAATCAAATAAATGGAATGGAAAATGGTTTCAAAAAGTCGAAAAATGTGACTAAAATTGTTGTAGACTAAAAATTTTCAAAATTATGGTAACCAAATTTATTGTCAACAAAATTTATTGGCCCTAAGGTAATAGGAGCACAAGGCTCAGTCTGTTCAATAATAAAAAATACTGACAATAAATCATTGCTTCTAAGTTGGTTGTAATTGTGGAGGAAAGCTTGAAGGTACACAATTAAGAATAACTAATATTAACTAACCAGGTTACAAGTAAGACAGTCAGTTTGTTGCAGAGGTACATCAGTCACAGTCATAGTGTGAACTAAAGCATCTGGCTCTGGTGTCCATCACACTTGTCCACCGACCACTGTAGATTGTAGCACCGCTTCAAATCATCTCCTAAACAGTTTAAAGCTAAAGTAGTTTAAACGAAGAGTAGCGCAATATATTTTTATCAAGAATAGACCACATTAAAATCAATAAAATCTTGGGCTGCAACTTCAAATTGCCACCTCAATCAAAATGAGCACTTGATTCCTACGTGGATAAGAACAATATCCTTTGAGGAGCTATAAAATAATGACATTATAAATCTTACAATATCATACATTTAAAACACTGCGTGGGGAAGTTAAACATAACTTTCGAGATACAAATCGAAAAGTTCAAACATCCAAACAAGATATATTACTATTAAGTATCTGTGCTCCCAAAAATCTTAACAACCCTCTAACACCAGGCTAGTAGCCAGCTGTTACGGTAATAGCCCAGTCCTCTAACAACCCTCTAATAGCCATAACACCACCAGTAGTTATCAGGTATAATCCACGATTCTGCCTTCACTGATTATCAGCCAGTGTCCACAAATATTTAATAAAGGATAACACTACACAGTGTAACTGTATATATATATGATATGATATTTATGATAAATACAATGTATTTAAACATAAAATCGAGGGTTTAGCTGACACCTACATTTCCCTGGTATCATAAGCCACAATTATTTTTTTACATCACACCAGTTATCCCCAATCGATGAAGATCATTTTCCAGATGTCTTGAAAAACTACAGACCAGTGTCAAACCTTGGGAAAACTAATTAAAAGAGAAGGCTACAGGAGCAATGAGCATGTAATGATGACCTCAATTGTCCTGGACAATATGCTTACAAAAGAGATCATATTTCACTTGTTATTAAGATAGTGTTCATGATATCTTCATAGCAGCTGATGAAAATATGAACATATTTCTGTTCTTCAGATTAAGTCAAAACCTTCGTCAACCGACCGAGAAATTGTTTCTTGAGGACAAAGAACTGGATGTTTAAATAGGTACCGCGACAATTGACCCCCTGACAATTGACTTCCCGACAATTGACCCCCTAGGTAGTTAAACTGGGGTCAATTGTCTCGAAATCTAGGGTTTAGTACGACAATTGACCCCCGACAATTGACCCCCTATGTAATTACACTGGGGTCAATTGTCACGAAATCTAGGGCTTAGTACGACAATTGACCGCCCGACAATTGACCCCCCAACAATTGACCGCCCGAAAATTGACCCCCCGACAAGTGACCCCCTGACAATTGACCCCCCATGTAATTACACAGGGATCAATTGATCGGGTCATGGTCAGGGTCAGGGTCAGGGTCAGGGTCAGGGTCAGGGTCAGGGTCAGGGTCAGGGTCAGGGTCAGGGTCAGGGTCAGGGTCAGGGTCAGGGTCAGGGTCAGGGTCAGGGT